AAAAAAAAAAAAAAAAAACAGCCCAATAAATCTCATATGGCTGAAAGAAAACCATTAATGGTAATTAATACAACTGACAATTTCAGAGCTCAATCACAAACAACCCAAAACTTCTTATTTTTTCAGTTTTTTCCTACACATAGCTGGAAATAGAAACAAACCAGTTCATCCCCCAAATCTATAGCAGCATCGCTGAAGATCTTTCTGTAACCCGGGTTGCTCCCACAAAAAACACAAATTTTCTTGAATTTGCTGTCGACCCTCGAATTGATTGCCATTCGAAAACCAAAAAAATACAAACTTTTTCAAGAATATGAAGCAAAAAGGAAGAAGAAATCAAGAGAATCACGGTCCACTCACTTATTTTACTCCTGTGTGTGTGAGTGCGTGTATGTCTGTCAACTTTATAATTCAAAATACAATCTCTGGATTAAAAGAAAGATAAAACAGGGTAAAAAAAAAAAGGGAATCTGGGTAATTCTTGATTGATCCAAATTACCCAACACACCAATGCTCTCTCTCAATCTCTTTGGGTGTGTGTGTGTGTGTGTGTGTTGATTGGCTAATGGTCACTAATGATTTGGTTTAAAATAAACATTAGATGCCTACTTTTAGCCAATTGTTTTCCCTATTTTTGTAAGGTATTGGGCTTTAATTAAATTACAAGAAAGTTAAAAGTTAAAATATTAAATAAATACAAAATTGTCCTATCCAAAATTGCACTGTGAATCGTGATGTACTTGAACTCCTTTTGCCAGTTATTAATTAATTTAACTTGGCAATGTTTTATTTGATTTGATCTGGCTTAAGTCTTAACACAGTTTAGTTTAGGTGATAAAACATTATTTCTCATGTAATTTGACCAACTTGCATTAATTTAAGAAAGAAATTTGGGACCTCAATTCCCGACAAAAAGAATAAACAAGACAGAGCTAACATGTCATCAATGTATGTATGGGAGAGACTGTAATAATATAAACTCATGTGACCCCAGATCAGATCCTACTGTGTAATTTCATGCAGTTTCTGTAATATTTTTCTCTAAAGTCCCAGTTCAATTATATTTTATATAAAAAAAAAATTGTTTTTTGGGTAATTTTGAGGAGTTGATTTATTTTAACAGTTTGCAGTAATTATTGTGCAGAGACTAGAGAGAGTGAACATGAACAAGAATTGTTTTTGGTACGACGAGTCATTGATCTCTTATAACTGTTTTCTGTTCACCAAGTTTCATTACAAAAGTGGCAAGTAAAATTATGATCAGTTCAGGTGAGAATGGGGAAAAAGTACTTCAACTGTCAAAACTAAGATAAGAAAAAGAAACCCAAAATAGAAGAAAAGGCTCAGCATGAAATGAAAAAAAAACAGTTATTTCTGTTGCAAAAAGAACCAACTCAACTGTTTCTAAATTGATGGTATATATATATTACCCCAAAAAAAAAGAGCAACAAACAAATCTAAATAAAACTACAAAATCCAAAGTAAGAGACCCAAAACCCTGCAGTTCAAGAGATATTCTCTTCTTCAAACAAATTGCAAGTAATAAAAACACAACAAATATTCAAATTATATATTTTTTCTCTCCTCCTCCATGGGAAGAAAATTAGGTAATAATAATAATATATGCTTACAATTATTACGAACTCATTTATCCATGAAATAATTATTCAACCCCATGCATTAGATCTTGATTTAATTCTATCAAACAATTACACACATTTCTTATTACATGATGCAGCCTCATACCTCTGCGCCGGCTTGAGCCGCAAGAAACCGACAACCTCCGACGACTCCGCCGGAGGCGCGTCCCCGGAGAAAGCGCCGTCCTCTTCCGGCCAACGGAGGTTCCGGTTGAAGCTCTCATCGAGCGTGGACTCGCGGGCCCACGGGTCAAAAGACGAGGGGTTGTGGAAGAAGACGATCATATTGGGGGAGAAATGCCGGGTTCCCGACGAGGAAGATGACGAGGGGGTCGTCGTGTATGACGAGAATGGAGAGAGGGTCTCGGCGTACCATCATCGGAAAACGAGCACCGCCGGTTCAGTGTCGTTTTCCGGCCGGAATTCGTGTAGCGGTCGCCGGCCAGGGAACTTTTGAGCCTGCTTTGAAGATTCTTGTATGTTAATTCATGTCGTGAGATTTCACAGTATGAAAGCACAAGTTATCTAATCTTAGCCACATTGATGTTCAAGCCCAGAAGCATTCATTGAACTTGCACTAAAATAAAACTGGAAAATTATCTCAGTTTAATATATATGAGATTTCACAAATATCTGAAAAAAACAAATCAAAAGTCCAAGGAAAAGAAATATCACTAAAACTATGAGATATAATTTTCTCACTCTAATAGTCTCATGTCTTGTCCTATCATCCCCAATCAACCAAACACATGCAGTGGCACCTAAAAAGCAAGTAACAAATGAATTTCTAACTGCAATTTGCGCAAAAACATCGAATCCCCCCTTCTGCTTGGATGTCTTAAAGGGCCTAATCGGGTCACCACTCTCCAATTCAACCTTCACAACCTTAGCCATACGGCCAATCTCACTAGCCGGGCCCTGTGCAAAAGAGATACACAAGATGATCGAGAAAATGTACCGCAGTTTAATTGATCCGAGTCGTGAGGTACGAGAAAGGTACCAAAGGTGTATGGTCGCTTACAATCAAGCCATATATTATATCGATGAGGCCAAAAGACGCATTAAGATAGGTGATTATAAGAGAGTTAAAAGTTATTTATCAGGCGCATCTAAACGAGCTGGATCTTGTGATGACAAGTTTTCGAGGCCGCCTCCCCAGCCGGAGGCCCTCAAGATTGCGAGTAAAAAGTTGAGGGATCTTTGTAGTGTAGTTGAGGCTATAACTATATGATATTTTATGATTTACTCCAAAATGATGTATTGTGTGTGTTACTAATAAATGAAATTCATCCTACATATGACTTTGATTTAATCCAAATATGTTTCTTGCTCATTCACTTCAAGAACAAAAATAGGAAATTGAAATAAATCAGTGATACCTATTCCTTGTGACCACCATATCTCTTCTAATCTCTCGTATATCCCCACTTTATATAAAAAAAATTACTCCCTTATGTGACCATATATATGAAAACTAATGAATAATGATACATTGATATTAGCTGCATGTTGTGATGGTACAAGTAAAACCATTGTTTCTCGTTCTAAGTATCAATTGTATTAAGGTATTTTATCTCTGTTTTAGATGTACTACATCTGGAATCGAGCGTTATCTAGAAATACAAACAAAATAGAATAGGTTGTGGTTATCTATTTCATACTCAAACCCCTTGATAATTATAATTTGTATAATAGGCAAAACTGCAAGACTAGGATCAGTGTTTACCTCGATTTTTTTGGGGCAGCACTTGATGGTTCTTGTTCTTTGTTCCCAGCTGTAACTGTTCTTGAAATTTAAGATTAAAACATCTGTTAATTGTTTCCTGTAGATTGTACCATCTGCTGCAACTGGTTTTACGGCAAACTTACATGATGAAAAACATCGCGGTGCATACCTCCTCAGCAACAACAGAAAGCAATATCTGCAGCATAAGTTCATGGATCAATCGTGTATTGCGTAAATCGACTGGAGGATCTGAACATGATTTTATTTACAATGAATTTGACTTACACGCTGGTTGGCCAAATTAGTGCCGGTGATTATTTTTCAAATACTTGTACACTGGATAATTTTAGAACTGTTCAAGGTGAATGACGAGATGTTGGCCAAATTTGTACTCTGTTTTTGATGTTTACGCACAAATGGAGCTCTTTTTATTCAACTTATATGAACAATCTTACATCTTCTTATCTAGCATGATAATGCTGAATGGCATAACACTAATGCAAAGTGACAAATCTTATTGCTTGGATGTAATCATGCAATACCATTGCATGTGCATAATTACAGCAAAACTATATGCGTTCAAGACGAGTCTTTTGTCACAGGTATTTTTTTAGAAAATATAACCAAATTCCACATTACTTATATTAGTTAAAAATTAGGTCCGACTCCAAGACAATACATACAAAACCATCTTTGTTACAAGAACACAGTCCTAAAACGCAAGAAGAAACAAGGGAAAATGTACCATATTAACAGTAAGTTGTCACATATGGAGTGTCTCAATATGATTCTCAACTGCAGTCAAGTCGCATAATGGAGTGGAGTGTGTCTCAATATCCTTATCAACTGCAGTAAAGTTGCACATCTGCAGGGAGAAAAGAAAAGAAAAAAAAAAGCTGTGAAAACCCAAAATATTGAACCATTCAATTAAAAAAAAAAGAAAAAGAAAAAGAAAAGAACAGAATTGGATTAATTACACCATGAAACAAATGCAACATGCATCCATTCAAATCAAGCCTTCAGCTCACCCACACCTAAATATAACCTACATATTCGCATATAAACTTGAAAATCTAATACGCCATACTAGAACTTGATATTCATTTAAAAAATCAGAAGCCATTTAAACCAACCAAACAATCACACCCCAACTCGAATCCTTGAATCACATCCAATTTATTTTCAAAGAAACCCCAACTGGTCCACAAGATCTTGTAGATCCTCACCCCAATCAGGCACCTTAGCCACCAATTCTTCAACCTCCACATCATCAGTCTCATCTGTGACACCATCATTCAAGAACTCCTCCCATATATTTGTCACATTATTCAACTCATTCTCACTAGTAGAAGTCACTGTGCTCTTCAAGTCAATGCTCGAAGTGCCATCAACCCCGGCCGTTAACAGATCATCAACCTTCACTTCAATATCCTCAAGCCTAACTTCATCCAGGCCCACATAGTCCAGAGGCCCGCCAGCGCTAGTGGACACATTCACGTCTTCTTGAAAATCCTCGACTCCCGGGCTCATTGTGAGCCTTCTCTTCTGCCCGATCTCAATGTGCTTCATGTCCTTGTATTTATCCACATATTGTTGAACGAATGACGGGCTCCTAAAGGCCTTCGCAATGAAACTCATCATCTGCTGTTGTTTCTTCTCGGTGGCCACTATTCTCTCTTCCATCTCCATTACCCGAGCCCTCGATCTCTGCTGCTGCTGTTTGAGCTTGACGATCTCAGACATTAGCAAATTCCGGTCACGTCTTAATCTCTCGAGCTCCTCTTCAATTCCATAGTGGCCCAGCTCAAGGCACGGGCCTATGTTTTGGGGGTTCGGGCCCTGCACAATGTTTCGCTTCCGTTTGATGGTTTTGAGGAGATGCTTCTGTCCAGCCAGAAATCCCTCGTTCGCGAATTCCCATCTGTCGGGGTCCACTTTTCTAAAACCCTGTGAATTTTTTTCGGCATTTTAGGAATGTCATGATAATTAGGAATAAATATGTGCTTCGGGTAGTTACCACAAGAAACAGAGTAAACAAGCTACGGCAGTCTCTTTCTTGAAACAGCTAACTTGCCACCATTGCTGCAAGCATAGGATGTTGATCAGAAATAAAATTAATAATTTTTTATTTTTTTTTCCTTTTGCTCTAAGTCTTTAAAATTCAAATTATATTGTTATTTATGCACACTAATCATTTCAAGCACAAAAGACCTTTGTATTTAGTTTACTCGATTCTAACACCGGTACACCAATTCTGTTGAAACCATATCAGACAATGAGTTGAAGAAATTAATGGGAGCACCTCATACAACATATCAAATGATTATCCAGACAAAACTAAACCAGACTAAAATTTCAGATATAGAGCTAACAAAATCAGAGCATTAATACAATAAAAGCACTTATTTTCCCAAGAAACTGCTCAAAACCACATTAAAAAAGCCAAAAAAGATAGGAAACTCATGACTACTTAGACAAACACTAAATCAGAATAAAATTTCAGAGTTAGAGCTAACAAAATAAGGTCAAATCAGAGCTTAATAGTTAAAAACAATTAACTTCCCAAGCAACTGATCAAAATCACACTACTAAAGCCAAAAAAAAAAAAAAAAAGATGCAGCGAGCTCATCACTCAAAAATAAAATTGAAGCACTTCTTAAAAAGGGATTCTTGGAAAAGAAAAAGCACTTACATATGTATTGAGCTGCCGGACGAAGCTGGAAAAATTGCCGTGCTTGAAATATTTGGGCAGCAAATTCGTGGCGAATTTATGAGAATCCCACACGATAAAGCTGTTCTTGGCCTTGCTCCACGAGATCACGACGTCCGTCGACGGATCCTCCACCATCTCGAAGGTCTTAATCAAGAACGGAGGTGGGCCCACCTCGTGCAGACCCTCCATCGGCATCGGCGGCGGCGACGAGGAGGAAGAAGAAAAAGAAGACGCAGCAACACCGCCACCGCCACGTACGATGTAATCCTTCTTTTCCACCTTCACCTCCACCCGTTCCATCACCAATGGAAAAAATAAAAAATAAAAAATAGATTTTTAGATGAGTTATCTCGCTCCCGAGTGATGATTTTGCTGTCAAGTGAAGTGGGCGTGGCGACTGGCGAGTGATTATTTATGGGAGGTGATAGGAAAGTTCTAGAGACTGAGAGAAAGAGTAGAACTTTTTGCCTAAAGTGTTTTGATGATTTTTTTTTCCGGTGTGTTTTTATGTTATTTGTGCAGCAAAAGTGTTTTGTGGGGGCAGCAGTGGGTTAGCTGAGGAATTAATAAATTGGTCAAGGATTTATTCTGTAAACTTCTCGAGAGGGTGACTAGAAAATCCATGACTTGAATTTTTTTTACTTTGGCCACATCCATTTGGTTTGCAAATCACAACACCCAATATGAAAACTAACATAATCCCGTTTTATTTAATGAAAAAATGCGTATATATATATTACATGTAATTATAAATAAATAAATCAATCAATTAATTATGATGTATGAACTTTGAAAAATCTACCGCTGCGTCTCTCTCCTCGACTGTACTCCTTCCCTTTCCCCTTTTCCTCTCCATTTACATTCAGAGATTTCAAGGTATCAAATACATATAAATTTATTTTTCCTCTCCCCTATATTTTGGTCTCTCTTGAATGTGATGGCTTTGAGGCGTCTTCTCAGCGAGGTTTGTCTAAAATCTTCGCCTTTTTTCGACGTTTAACATGCTTCGCTAGTTTTAGGATTTGATTTGCTTATCTGGGATTTGATACTCCACTATAATTTGTTACCGTGAGATAGATGTCCAAACTATCAGAAGCCCTAATCTTGGAGTTTCTTTTGTTGGTTTCTTAAATAAATTAGTATTTATCTTGGAGGGTTTAACAGGTTTGATAAAAGTATGATGAAAATTCGGATCTTTATACTAATTCTATCAGCAAAGATCTTGTTTTCCAGATTTTTGGTTGAAAGATGGCATTTTTTATAAACCCTCTAGCCCTCTATTTGACCCTCTTACGAAGTTACTGATTTATTTCTGCATTTGTGATAGTATAGTTTGATATGCATTTCATATATGAGTTGCTTAATGCCATCTGTTTGTAACGATCATGAATTCAAGATTCAGTTAGCTTGAAGTTGACTGTTGTGCTTTATAATGTTAGGCCAAACCACATGAGTTACAATTGAGGTTGTTGAGTTATCTGGCAGCTGGAACTCATCGAACTTCGCCAAATGCTAGAGGAGCTGGTATGCTCTGGAGTACTCCTTGAAACTTCTACTTAAAGTGTTCCTTTAATTTTTTCCTCTGTCATATTAAGATTATTGGCTTTTTGTTATTAGTACGAGTTATTCTAGCTCCAAATCAAATTTTGAACTGTATGGTGAAAGACTGTATTATGCTATATATTGTCATGGGTTTTATGCTGAATGACATCACTTGATACTTTTACTTGATGTATCATGCTATAGCACCACCGTAATCCCCATTTTTTTTTTCTTTTTATAGCTCAAAAGCTTGCAATTGCCCTTGGCACAATTTCGATTGGGAAACCAAGTTATTTTGGCAGCCTAGCCTGTAGAATGTGCAATGGTGAGGGATCGAGTGATGCCGCATATCTAAAAGAGCTCTATCGTCGAAATGATCGAGAGGCAGTCATCAGGTTGTTCGAGAGTCAACCTTCCTTACATTCTAACCCATCAGCCCTTGCTGTGTATGTCAAAGCTCTGGTTAAGGTCGACAGGCTTGATGCGAGTGAGCTGGTTAAGACTTTGCACAGAGGTGAAGTCCATAATATATTCAACTTTTTTTAGACTTTATACCTAGTCGATATAATTTGTATTGACCTGGGACTTTTTACAGGCATGCTGGGAGCTTCTAGCTCACACGTGGGAGAAGAAAGTTATGGAGCATTTTCTACTCTTAAAAATGTTGGGAGATCTTCTAAAGATGCAATACTCGGTACTTCATGTTAGAATTATTTGAGTGTAAATTATGTGAGTTATTTTGAATATAAAGTGGGCCCTACTTCTTAATTATATTGTAACAATAATTGATGCAATTTAAGTGTAATAATGACACCAATAATTGAGAATGAGAGCTGTAAAAGAGAGTGGGAGCTGTAAACGTTTACAGCTCTCACTCTCAGTTATTAGTGTCATTATTACACTCAAATTGCATCAGTTATTGTTACAGTATAATTAAGAAGTAATACCCATTTTACACTCAATTATTATAGCTCACGTGATTTACACTCAATTATTCCAACACTTCAAGTGCTCCTATACACATGGTGACTTCAGAAGGTGGGAATTTTAAGGAGCAGTTGTGGAGAACTGTCTGTGCTTTGGGTATGGCTGTCCTTCTGATTTCGGGTGTTGGGGGCACTGATCGAGGACAAAGCGATTGGTAAAGGTAATCATATGTCATTCTTCGGCACTTTTTTCTTTTGTTATTCTTTTTTTTTTTTCTATTTCTCCCCTTTTTGTTGCAGTATGGACATATTCTTGCTTCTATTGTTTGATTGATTTTCTAGGACTTGGTTTGCATGAAGAAGAGGTCCCCGTGCATAATTTTCATAGACGAGATCGACGCCATTGGTGGGAGCCGAAACCCCAAGGATCAGCAGTACATGAAGATGATCCTGAACCAGCTGCTGGTCGAGCTGGACGGGTTCAAACAGAATGAGGGCATTATTGTAATTGCCGCCACTAGCTTCCCTGAGTCACTGGATAAGGCTCGGAATAAGGAGCTTCACGAGCTAGCGAATGCTTTGCTGGAGCACAAGAGTTTGACGGGAAGTCAGATGAAGGCCCTGCTAGCTCAGGTCGACGAATCACAGACGAAGAAGAAATCGGCGAACGAGTAATAATTGCAATGAGCCCCCTGAACGATGCGCATTTTTCTTTCCCCTTTTTACTGTCATACAAGATGATCGTGTAGGGGGAGTGTGGATACAAACCTTGGCTGCTGGTGAAAGTAAATGCTGGATATGGGTGAAGCTGTAATATTGATCATTAGGTAATTTTTTTTAGTTTTGTATTGTTCTGTTCAATTGGATTATTTATGTTGAGTTTTTGGTTTAGGAAAAGGGATGAATATAATATGATTGTGTAGGGAAACAATGCCAGTTTGGTATTTTGAAGCCAAGCTGAAGAAAGTATGGAGATATTTTGTTTTTACTTTGATAAAATAGAATTGTTTAATTAATTAATGGAATTTCATGTACTGGAAAACATATGTAGAAGAACATTGTGTTTGATTCTTATTAAACATCTAAAATACAAGTCCATATTTTATTGCCCTTTTTACAAACAAAAACTCAAACTAACTAGGAAAGAACATTGTAATAATCTCTCCCTTTTCCAACTAGAAATAGGAGGAACGTTCTATTTTCTTTCCAAATATTCTGCAATTCCCTTAATTTCCCAAATAGGATTAGGAGGAAAAGACTTTCACCAAATTATAAATAAACGTTTATTCATGTACGTATGAATGCATATCACGCTTCATGCATGCTTTCTCTCTTGATTAATCAACCACTTCCATTCAAATAAATTCAAATTTATTAATTTAACACACACAAAAACAAAAAAGCCCCACGTTGTTGTTCGTTAATTGATGATTTAATCACCATGCCAAGACATCGAAGAAGTACGAGCTGCAATCTCATCCAAAGAATTCCTCAAGAGCTGCTGGTGTGCGAAGTTTTAGGTCGAATAGCTGCCACGTCACACACCGAGTTGTTCAATCTCAAGTCCAGGTAATTTTTGTGAAATTTAAGTTTGTGATAATGTTCAATCCTAGTCCATAATTAATTCTGAAAACATGTGTAACTAATTCCTTGGATTTTTTCACGTAAAAAGGAACAAATGACAATCAAAATAAAATTTGTACTAATCATACATATGTTTACACATTTGAATCTGAGGTTGAATTTTTCCTCTTTTTTTCTTGCATTTTTTCTTTTCACGATTTGTTTTTTTCCAGAAATTTGTTTGATGGTAAGTTACCATAATTTTGAATTTATTATAGTCGTACTTCTAATTAGCTTTTGGAAGGTAATTAAAATTATTATGGGCTGGATTGTGTAATGAAATTTACCGGGTGGAGTAAAATGACACGTGGAAACAATCTGACGGTTGGAACATCAATGAATTTAGCCTTTTGTGTTTGGAACTTTATTTAATTCCTAACTGGAATTTGCTTTATTACATATAGGAATAGGAATTGGAAAGTAGAGTAGAAATTTAGTTTTTCTTTTTTTTTTTTTACTTGTTTAATACATTATATTGTATACGCATGTTAATCAATCTTCTATAGCTAAACTAACCTTAACTTTTTTTGTTCCCTTTCAGCTGCAAACTATTTAACGAAATAGCTGAAGATAAATATCTTTATCGACGCGTATCATTGGATAAATTCCCGATGATTCCTTGGAACCCATCAATGGAGAAAAAGACAACATTTTTTAATAAATGTCGTGAATCTAATAACCCTGAGGCCATGTACAGACAAGCAGTGGTAAGTTTCTTTTTTATTATCCCAAAATTACAATACGATTAATTTACACCAAATTTATATGTTTCTTTTTTACTATTAGGTAGATTATTTCAACCGAAGCAATCTCAAATCGGCATGCAAGCACTTACTGAAAGCCGTGAAATTAGGTCACGTGGAGGCCATTTACCTGACGTGCATTATCCTGTTGTTATGTGGAGACAACGAGTCGAGAAAGAAGGGCGTTAATATGCTCGCCAGATTAAGAAAATCGAAATCGGCACAAAACAAATTCAAAATATGGCGCAATAATTTGTTGAGAAAGCTGAGAGAGATGTGGGTGAAAAACCCGGATTTAGTCGAGCCACCAAAGTGTTGTCCAAGTCCAGATCAACATCCATGGAAAAATCAGTGGTGTGAAGATGATGAATGTTCTGAATGTGAGGCTTGCAATGCAGATAGAGAAATTAAAAGAATTTGTAGTGCATACACGGGCTAAAATGTGGACTGTAATTTTTTCAAAATCGTTTCAATTGGGGCATTGCTATGGATGTTTTAATAAAGTTGTATACAAATCATTAGTGATTGCCATATTTAATAGAGATATAAGCTATCTTGTACAAAATCTATCAAGCAGAGCACTTTAAGTTAAAATTTCTACTAAAATAAGCTGACACATTAGTCCTTTTTCAACCAATTTCAGGGAAGATATAATCAATAGTGTAGTGACACTATTTTGTTTGGTCTTGCACATTCAATGATGTGAAGTTTCTACTGGGATAAAAACAAGCTATAGATCATTTTTATCATAAAAGTTTATGGCTTTTTGAAATGTGAAGGCACTTTTTTGGGGCCATTGTGTAAATATTGTAAAAACCATGTCTGGAACTTTTGTTCTCTCAGCATCCATTGGTTGAAGTAAAGTTTTTGATAGGATTCCAAAAAGGGAAGGAACACAAATAACTAGATGAGCTGCATTTTGTGCACATGCCTCAAGATCTTACACTCAATTGTGCCTATCACATTTATCAAACATGAAGGTCTTGAAAGGGGATAAATATCCAAGTAGCCTCTTATCTTCATATTACATGAAAATATGATTCATATTGCAATTATTTCCTAGCCGTAGAATTTCAAACAAACTATTCTAATTTTTTTTTTTTCTTTTTGCTATGGCTACTTGGATTTAATCCATACTTGTGATCATATTCATCTTTCTATACTTTATTCATCTTTCTATATTCATCACTCACATAAACTAAACGAGTCGCTCGTGAACTAAACTCATTTAACTAGTACTCGAGTTTAGTTTGGTTCGTTAGTCTTGAGAATAGGGTTTTTTTATTTTACATAATTCGTGAACTTCTAGAATAATTCAGTTCATTAAGGTTCGTAAACAAGACGAGCTTAAATTTGTTGATCGGTTCATTAACTTAACGAGTTTGGCTCAATAAGTGCTCAAGAGCAAGCTCAAATAATATCAGCAGTTCAAACTCGTTTATCAGCTTGTTAATTTAATAAGCTCGACTCTATAAGAGCTCGAGCCAAAGTTTAATTATGAGAAACTCAACAGTTGGTCGAACTTTAAGGTACAATTGAATAATATCATTTAAATGTAAAAAATATCAAAGCATGAAAAAACAAAACACCAATTAGAAGTCCATTCATGACACCAAAAAGATACATATCATCATCTAATGGCCATTGGATTCCCATCATCAAACCGACCAGACCATTCCCAAATCCCACTAGCCATGACATGAATTGATGACCTCTTATTTGCAAGATAACACCTTCTAAACCATCTATTTCACTTTCCTCCACCCTTCATCCAAAAACCCCATTACTAAAATAAAATTACACAGCAAGTCCCTGAAAAATACCAAAACCACAAACCTAATAAGCCTTTCACCTCCCCGTACTCCCTTTCCCAATCACATCCTTGTACCTGATAATCGAATCCAACCTCTGCAGCTTCAGCTGCTGCTTAAACTTATTGATGAAGTCGTCGGCTCTCGCGTCCACCTCAGCGTCGCCCTCAGCCGCCCCCCGCTCCCTCACTGTCGCCGGCCGCCGCGCCTCCACGATCTTCTCCTCCTCCTCGAAATGCCCGAACGCCGATTTCAAGCTCGCAGATTTCCTCATCCTGCCCGGGAGCATCACCGGAATCTCCCCGGATGTGGGCTCCGTGTCCGATTTGGTCCTGATGAAATGGCTGCCGGCGAGCTGACTGTAAACCTCGTCCATGCTCTGCTCGACCGCTGAGCTGTCTTCGATTTTCTCCTCTTGGGCCTGCTTGAAACCATCCAAGTTCGGATCTTTTTGCTCGAAACGTATATGGGTCTGCTTTGAACCGCCCAAGTCCGAATCTTTTTGCTTCAAATCGAAATGGGTTCCCTTTGAACCGCCCAAATTCGGATCTTTTTGCTCGAAGGTCAAATGGGTTTGTGATTCTTGATGATTTTGGTCGTGGGTTTGTTCGAAAATGTGATTTGTGGCTTGGGACCGTGATGATATCTGAAGATTTTCTTGGAAAAAGTAATGGGTCTCAAGTTCAATATTCTCATGAGATTGTTCATGATTGAAAGACTCTGTATCTTGTTTGTAAACAGACAAGTTGTGAAGATCTTGTTGAGATCTGTTGAAATAAGGGTAGAAATTAGTGGATTTGAGGCGCTGCAAGACTGAGGGTTTGTGCTGATTGTGTGTTTCTCCATTTTGGTGCTGGTTTTGATTTGTTGGTTGGTTTTGCTTCTTGTTGGCAATTGTTGAGGTGAAGGCAATTGTGCCTATCATGACATTGAGAAGCACAAAGAAGACAGCAGGTGTGAACCAGCTGTTCATTGATGCCCATATTGATGATGAAGGCACTTCAGATGGTTCAAACATTTTGATTTTGATTTTGATTTTTTTGTTTTTTGTGTTGTTTTTTCTTTGATAGAGGAAAAGAAAAGAATGGCCCTTTTTCTTTGATTGCTGGCTTGCTGTTGTGAAATACAGAGAGGGTCCAGAGGTAAGAAGAGTGGAAAATGAGGTGAGTGTGGTGGTGGGGTTGGTTCACATGGTGGAATGGGTATTTGTGAATTGTGATATATTTTTAAAGAGAGAGTAGAAATTTTCACATTTCTAATAATAAATTCATGAGCTTGATACATGAGCTAGCCTACAAAAAATTATGTTTGGTTGTATTATCATATTGAGAAAACTCTACTACATTTATATTTAACAAAATCTAGAATTTTTGATTTTAACCTACATATATATGTAAAGATGTGATTTGATGATGCGTTTTCATTTGATTGAAAAAATTATGGTTGGGAAAAAGGCAGTGGACAAATTATTGATTTTAATAATACAGCAAAATGTGATATCAAAATAGTACAATTTTGGATTCATAGTTGTAAATACATCATTTAATAAATAATGAAGTTTATAGTAAAATTCATAGTAATAATTGACCTTTTTATTTATAAGTTCCATTGTGAAAAATATGAAGAGAGAAATGGAGCATATAAGTGACAAAATGAGATTAAAAAACTTCCATTTTTTTTTTTTAAAAAAAAATGCATGTAACTGCTCCCTAATTTGGAGGTTTCATTAACTTAATCATGTAGAAACAAAGATTCAAACTTGAGAATTCATTCTACCTTGAAAAAAGCTTTCCTCTTTCCTGGAACTTGAGATTTGAGATTTTTTAATTCATTAGGCGAGGAAAAGAAAAAAAAGGAAAAAGGTGTTCTTATAGAGTGTGTATTGTTGTCATCACTTGCCTTACATATATTTTATTAATACAGACTGAATATGAGGTAAAGTGATGTCTTATGAGTCCTTGTGGATGCAGAAAATCCTTGTTGGGAGACTTACCTACCATTACCAAGTGTGCAACCCGAGTCGACCAACGGATTAGTCATGGCATAACTCCAGAACCGCGGCTGGCTACAAAAAAAAAAAGTGATGTCTTCTGAACCATTGGGGTACTCTCACCACTTTATGTTCCTGATAATATAGTAGTATGCTCAATATTTTTTTAATAATTTTTTTGTTTAATTTTAAATTGTTGGGAAAATCATTAAGTTTGATTCTAGAGTAGATGCACGGGATATGTTATTCTGAGTGACAATCTTTTTATTATTTTTTCCAACTTTATTATGATGGTAAGGGGCAGAAGCATTTATCAATGTTTGAGAATGGTCATAACTCAAGGTATGGAAAAAAATGCAAACAATAATATATTAACTGATGTTACATACTACTATAATTTAGACATATCTTTATATTATAGTTTTTATTGATTTCTCATTATTATTTGTTATTTTTATAGTTGCAATACTATACCATTTTTTACAATTTTGATAGAAAATAAAGTAAGAACATTAATAATTAAAGAAAAAAAAAAAGGGTTAGTGATGCAGACAGCACAGCAAAACCGCTGTGGTGGAGCCAACGATAATATGAGGCAGATTATTTCCTCAACAGCCGACTCTCTCTCTCTTTGCTGAATAAAAATTATAAAATAACTAACAAACACATTTTTTTTTTTTTGAAACCGTAGTTCCAGGCTTGCTTCTGACTATTTCTCGAGGAAATAGCTCCTGGCCCTTCAGAAATTGCCTCCAGTTAAATTGCGGTAGCCACGCAGTGGCTCCCAAGTTCCTAACACCCTCAACTACCGCGCACAAGGAGTCGATCCCCAAGTTGGCCCTACCTATCCAGCAGCAGGGTCCCACTTAGGTGGTTGCTTCATGCTGGCCTCCAAACTTCATGTTGGCCCCACCTATCCAGTCGTTGGTTCCCACCGAGTTTCAACCTCTCACACTGCCGCTTGTAGCCCTCAAATTTTATTTTTTTTTTTATTTTTTTTATTTTTTATTTGGCTTTGTTGTGTTGTGTTTTCCAATACTAAATAATGTTGTGGTCTACACAAGTAGAGAGGTTACAATTAATTTTCAATTATTAAAATCCGGCTTCAAGATTTATATTTTAATACCCATTTGAATTGAATGAATATCCGTATAAAAAATTCAAAATAGTGATATGGACAATAATAATAATGTAATTATGATTTAATATTATTACATGTTTATTTTAATTTCATGGTATATAATAAATTAAATATATAATTTAATATTTAATTAAAGTCCACATGCATATGTTTGGTGTATACAAATATTTTTAATATTAATAGAGTGACGTATGAAAACGATACATAATTGTTCAATGGTTTCTACATTTACTCCATTATTATTCTAGGCCCCGCCAAGTTCTATGTCTAAGTAGGTGTCCATTGAAGGTGGGCTTGGGCAAGAGAAAAGATCCTAGCAGGCCCAAAAGGTGAAGAAGGCCTCCACGTAAATGGGCTAGGCCCACTGATATCCACAGAGCACTAGGGGTCTCCACAGGTAAACCATCCCCATCAACTCTTGATCTTTGTGTTTTTTATTGAATGCAAGATTCACCAACTATAGATTCTCAAGCCCCTAATAAAGTCAACAAAATAAATGACCAACTACAAAAGTCAAAATCTATTTAATTTATGTTAACAACAAAGAAGAAGAAAAAACAAGATTAACATTTTAGTATGAACACAAGGTAACATACATACATGATTGTGTGGTCTAACTTAATCATTAATAACTATCACTTCAAAACATGATATTCAATTTAAGAGAGTATATATGTTATCTTTATCTTGTGCAAAGTAATATATAATTCCACATACCAATTAAATAAATAAATAATGTAAATGATTTTTTTTTATATTTTTTTTTTTATTTTTTATTTTTTTTTTTT